CCATCTACCTCTGTTCCTCGCCCGTTCCGCGTATCGCGTCCTTCTCCCACCGGTCGAGTCCAATAACTCTTTCCCCTTTTCCCCCAACCGTGTCCCTCCTCGTCCGATCCACGGACGTCCGACTCGGTTCTCCTCGTTCCACGTCGGTTGGCTCTCCCTTCTTCACCCGTCCTTGTCGCTTCCTTGGAACCAGTGCACGCCAGAACAGAGGAGAGAACGGGGTCTCGTTGGCGGTCTCTGTCGCACGCCCGCTGCGTGGCCCACCCACCGCAATAAGTTCCACCCGCCCACGTTACCTCTCACGCACTTCTGCCGCGCGATCATCCGTTGCGAATTGGAAAGCAGGCGCGTCGCTTATCTCGCTGCGGGATCTCCCTTTCTTTCTCTCTTTTTCTCTCTCTCTTTCTCTCTTTCGACAGAGTGAGAAGATACGTTCGTTTCCTCCTCGTTTGTTCTTTCGTTTCACCGCGCCTCGTGAGAAAAAGAAGGAGGGAATAATAAAGAGAAGACGACTTTTCGCATCCGCGCGAAAATTCAACGATGCGGAGATGAACAGCGATACGTAGCGCAGTACGATGAATCGATAGGAGAATTTTTAAGGATTCGACGACGATGAGGTTAGGTGGAAGTCACTGGCTATTTTTCTTAATTCTCTGCAATGATGAAAGATACGTGGCGTGTATATCTGTATTTAGATTATTTTATCTTGTTTGTTCATCGGGTCAACGGACTTGTTAGAAAAATACGGAAAGATCAATTTATGAAGATGGATTATATTTAAAAATGGTGGATCACCATTATAGAATATATGACTGAAATATATTCCATTTCTAGCCAGTCTACTTTTATTCTTTCGATTAATAGCGAGTTTATTTTTACTTCAGACACGCAAAATATTAAAATGAGAATTTTATTCGGTCAAGAATTTTTCCTTTGGATCTTTCGAACTTTAAAATTAGACATTATTATCCATTTATCCATTTTTATGAAGTTTCGTGGATAATGCATCACGTTTTGACGTTCACGTTTGTGCCATTAAACGTAATATATCGTAATACAAAGCGAAATACTTTTGAAAATTTCGCTCTGAAATGATAATAAAATTATATCGCAAAACGATAGAAAATATAATTGGATATTTTTCACTTCGACGCTATGCAGATAACATATCGAGTTTCGTGTCGAAAACATATCATTATATAGCTATTAGAGTGAAATTTAAATAATCACTCGTTTTTTTCCACTAGTTAATTTATCGTTGTTATTCGACGCACCGTGTTCACTTGCGTTTATCAATTATTCATCGTTTAATTGATGGATTCGTTTATATTACACGTTGTTCGACAAATTAATTTATATGTTCTGGTAACGTGAACGATGAGGAACATTTTCAAATTGATTATAGTTGATTAATTCCCGTGCATTTCTATATTTCATGCTCCCAAAGAGGAATTGGAACAGGTGAAATTTCTGGGAAAATTTCTTGTATTCCTTGATAAAATTTCATTATTGGGTAATTAGATATGTAATCAGTCTATTTCGCTCGTATTTTCGCAAAAAAATTGAAAATTTATCAAATTTTCAAACGAAAATAAATAAAAATACGAAATTATTTCCATTTCAAACCTCAACTTCATCTTTAAACGAAAATTCAAAATTCGAAAGATGATTTCCAAAATCTTCCATCACCATCGATTATATCGATCATTTCAAAGTTATGATCATTATAGATAAATCATTCTTCTCCAGGGTGAAACGAAAACTTTTCGAGATCTTTGAGGATCGAAAGAATTTCGAAATTGCTCGATAGATTTTTCAACGAGCACGAAGGTCGATTTGCAAGAGAGATTCCTTTGTTGTCCTTGAACCCTCCGCCCAGTGTACTTCCTCGGTCGTTGTTTCCTCGACTTCCACCGCCAGTCAAGCGAATCGTACTCATGGTCGGAAGCTTTATTGTGATCCATCGTTGAACAAAGACTCCACTCATCGGCCGCCCGTGAACCTTGACGGACGATGACGTTCACGTTCGTCTAGCCGACGTTCCAATTAAATTAAGACGAGCTCCTGTTTCGCGTACGCGAGATTAAAGACTACATTCCACTAACTTTCTTTCAAGGATTTTCTTTGCTCGACCAAGAGCTTGAAACTTCTTATTATTATTATTAATCTTATGCAATTATAACATTTCAATAATAATATACCAAAGATACAAGAAATAATAGAAATAATTCTTAAAACAAGCGTAACAACAACAATCCTCTATAATTACAACAGAACCTAACTTTGATGAACTACAAATGAAAAGCTACAAAAAGCACATGATTTTTTTTCTTCTCTATTTTTTTTCTTCAATTTTATCTTAGAAATCTAATCACACGTTAGGGAATCAAAAACTCTTCAAATAATTACATTCCAGAAACTCCATCTCCATCTCTTTCGAGGATTTTCTCTGCTCGACCAAGAACTTGAAACTTCTACTATTATTAATCTTATGCAATTACAACGTTTCAATAATACACCAAAGCTATAAGAAATAATTCTTAAGACAAGCGTAGCAACAATAATCCTCTATAATTACAACAAAAACCTAACTTTGATGAACTAAAAGCTAAAGAAAAAAAAAAAAACACAATGATT